GAAAGGCTCCGGCGGAATTCAAAGCTATAACTTTTAGCTGCTTGCCCTAGAACCTTGCCACCTCTGCCATGATCAGAAATATGCCACTATTAGAAAATAACCATCAACAGGCAACCATCTTCATCAGTAAGTTCTTGCCACTGTTGCTGACTCTAGAACCAAACGATGCCTGCTCCAACCTCTACTACAGAGTGTATGCCTTGTGTCCTTTTTAGTATTCATGAAACCTATGACTGAATACTAGGACTTCTGCAAGTGCTACTATAGAACATGAACATCTCCATTATAGTACTTGCTAGTAGAAGCGACCTAAACTCAGCCATCTTCCTCTTCTATCCTCCAAATTTCTAGTGAGGACATCTGATTGGTGGGACTTAAATCATGTCTACTACCTTAGCTGCAAGGAAGGCTGGGAAATGTAGTGTTTGGCTTTCTATTCTAAAGGAGGTTGAAATGGATATTGAACACTAATCTGCCATATCTACTACAAGTATAGAACCTGATTCTCCTTAAGGCTAGCTATCTTTTAGTAGCCTATAGAGAAATTGAGAAGATTACAAGTAGTGCCATCAGACAATGTAGAGAAACTTATTTGGCTTTAGTATATTTTTGTTTCACAATGATACTTTTTTTTTTAGAAACCAGGGTTTATTAAGGGGACAGAAAAACTCCTACAGCAGGAGGGTACCCAAGGAGGTTGCCCGATATGTTTTTCAAGGATACTTAAAGAGACAGCCTTTCACCTCTAGGATGAATTAAGTGGTCCATGAATGCCCAGAGTTTTCTCACATTTAAGATATGGTTAGTGGGTAAAAAGCCTGAGGAGGGAATAAAAGAAAAACCATTGGAATGAGTTACCTAAACTGTGGCAAGGTTCATGTTGTCAAGTACTGAAGAGTGGCCAAATAAGATAGGAACTGAAAAGCAATTATTTGATTTAGTAGCACTTAATATTTTTAGTGTTTTTGAAGGTTCTAAACAAGGTGCAGGATCAGAAGCCAAATTGCAGGTCTAGGGTATGAGTAGAAAGGAATGATGAGAGGCAGAGGCTATAGGGTGTTTTCAAGAAGCTTGACTTTTGGAAGGCAATAGATTTTTTTTTTTTTTTGGTCTGATGTACATGCTTATTTATGTACAGAATTGGCTATAACTAGTAGGGCACTGCACAAATACCACCTACAAGCAAGTACAATCTTCCAGGGTTCTTTACTTTTGTCTTTTTGTGTAACTTGATGTAAAGTGGGTATGTTTAACATAATCTCTTTTTAGAAATATAGTAGATATTATACTACTTTTATTATGTCTGTAGCATTAGTTACTTCACTTTTGATTATATTGTTTATAGAGTGCCAGTTAATTACTGCTGTATTTTGAAGTTATAGTTTAAAGTCCTGATAGCTGGCGGGGTGTGGGGGCTCATGCCTGTAATCATACCACTTTGGGAGGCCAAGGCGGGAGACTCACTTGAGCCCAGGAGTTTGAGACCAGCCTGGGTAATATAGTGAGACCCCTGTCTCTACAAAAAATAAAAAATTAGCTGGGTATGGTAAGCTCATGTCTGTAGTAGTCCTAGCTACTCCAAAGGCTGAGGCGGGAGGATCACTTGAGCCCAAGAGTTTGAGGCTGCATTGAGCTATGATCAGATCATGCCACTAGACTCCATCCTAGGTGGCAGAGGGATACCTTGTCTCTTAAAAAAAAAAGATAAAGTCTGTTATCTGTACAGTTGATTGGTGAGCTGGTTATTGATTAGATGAATTAACTTTCAACATAGTTTATTTGAACTTCAGTCAGTGGTGGATAACTGCTTTTATAGGAAATGATGTTGGTGCATTTTATATAGTATAGCCTAAGTTTTTATTTATTATAAATAAATATCTAATAATGCTGAGTTCATTATATTCTACAGACAAAGTAACCCATTGCCCCTTTGTTAAAGGGGAGAGAGTGGTGGAATATGTACACATTTATACAGTATTTTCTCTAAGTGCACTTTTGTGAATGAAGCATTAACATGTTCAGAGACAATGATTAAATGTTCTAGATTCTCCCATTAGATATGGAGCATATTTATTATGAACAAATTCCAGAATCTTTTGTATTCCAGGCCCAATATGGTGACCTAGCTGGATTTTTTATTTAAAGAGGAAAAAAAAAGAAAACCCTCTGGGTTATGCAGAGGAAGACATCAAAGAAAAAGAAGAAGTTTGAAAATAATGAAGTTAGAATTGCTGGACAGCATCCTGGAAGGAGAAAGAGGGAATGGGGTAGAGAGAGCACAGGATGAGCTTTGGGTAAGAAGAGGAATAGCTAGAATTTGAGGAAGAGGAGAATAGATGGGTATAGATTTAGATTTATGTTATTTCTCCTGTTAGGGAACTGTCTTATCTGTAAGTACCAACCGATTTTAGATAATTTTGGGGTCATTTCAAAGGTTAGATTCCTTGATTCTGACTTGAGATGAACATACATTATTTTATTCTGTTTAAGTTGATTTTTTTTTTTAAGCTCTCTGACAAATTTAATAACGAGTATCTTAATGGTGCTTTTTCATTAGTTTTCTTATTTTAATTTTTATAAGTTATTTGTTTACTGAGGCTTTTTTTTTTTTGAGTCAGTATCTCACTCCTTCGTCCAGGTTTGAGTGCAGTGGCCTGCACGCTCACGTTACCACCCCGGTGTCAACCTTCTGGGCTCCAGCGATCCTTCCACCTTAGCCTTCCGAGTAACTGGAACTACAGACGCGAGCTACCATGCCCGGCTATTTTTTATTTTATTGTAGAGACGAGGTCTTGCCAAATTGCCCAGGCTGGTCTCAAACCCACTGGCTCCAGCAATCCACTCTCCTCTACCTCCCAAAGTGCTGGGATTACAGGCTGAGCCACCGAACCCGGCCTTTGTTTTTTTTCTTGTTTTTAACTGAGGCTTTCTTTTATAGGTGCTTCTTAGGTTTCTGATAGGCTTCTTTAAAATATTTTGATTCAAGTGGTCTTTAAAGTTGATAAACAAAAAGAAGCTTGTATGTATCTAGTCCAGGCCTTCGTCAGGAAACCTGTGCTGCTGTGATTTTTCTGAAGGCATGCCGCTGCTTAGTAGCAGCAGTGAGATGGGAGTATTGGTTTTAGGATTTTTAGAGTAGTACTCTTTCCCTTGTGCCAACTACTTTGCCTTCCTAGCATACTGGTGTTTTGGTTTCAGCACCCCTGCTTTTATGTCTCCTTTTGATCCATGAATATCTCACAAGAACTTCAAAACTGGACTTACTGGGTTATTTAATATCCATTTCTTTGATACATATTACTCAGGTATCTACTGTATGACAGTCTCTACTTAAGATCTTGGGGATCAACAAGTTCTTAGTCCTCAAGAGTTCGGGAGCCAAAAAATAAACACCTCAGAAAAAAACCATCAGGTTTAGATAGTTGTTATGAGTGCTATTAAGGAAATGAAATGGAGAACATGGTAGCAGAATTATCTATTTTAGATAGGATAGTCAAGGAAGACTCCTCTGAGTGACCTTTGAACTCAGACCTGAATGGTTAAGCACTAGCCATGTGAAGATCTAGGATTAGAGCATTCCAGACAGAGGCACTAAGCTTGATGAATGGTTGGCATCATTGATAAAGGTAAGGAAAGCAAACGGTGGCGTGGGAGGGCCAGAGTGGAAGGAGACGAGGTCAGAGAGGACAGTTAGTAAGGCTCTGTAGATTGTGGTATAAAAATGGGGTTTTATTCTAAGTGAGATGGTATAGTATTGGAGCAGGGTGGTGACTGACCTGAATAATATGTTTCAGAGGTCACACTGCTTAGTAGAGAACGAATTGTAGAAGGGGCAGAAGTGGAAGCAGGGACATCAGTTAGGAAACTGTCATGTTTGTCCAAATGAGAGATCATGGTGGCTTGGACTTGGTGATTCCAGTGAAGGTAAGGAGAAGTGGTTGGATTTGAAATTTCTTTTAGAGGTCTGCTGGATTTGCCAATGGACTGGGTATAGGAGTTTGGGGCAGATAGTGGGAGGATGGTGCAAGGAAGATGGTGGTAGACTGGGGAAAGAGTATATTTTAGGGGAGAGCATCAGGTGGTTTGTCTGGGACTTGTTAAATTTGAAGTGCCTAGTGGATATCCAAGGAGGCGGATGAATATTCATTCACATTTAGTGTTGAGAAGGAGAGGTCAGGCCTGGAGGTACAGATCTAGGAGGCGTTATTAGCACAGCATTACCACGATATACTGCAGGAGTTTACTTAAGGAAGGAAGAGATAGTAGTCCAGAACTGAGCCCTGAAGCATTGCAGCATTTAGAGGTGAAGAGGGAGAAAAGTCAGAGGGCCAGTGATACAGGAGGAAAGTGAGATATTGTGTTGTGGAAGCCAAGAGAGGGGAGCATTTTAAAGAGGGGTATTAGTGTTCATTTGTGCTAATGATGCTGCAAGATAGCATATGATGCAAGCAGAGAAATAGTCACTGGAGAGAGTTGAAAAATGAATGGAAAGTGAGAAAGTAGAGGCAATCACTAGAGATAATGATGCTTTTGGGAAGTTTTGAGAAGGGAGTCTAGCCACGGAGTGATCTTAAGAGGGAGGAGGTGGAGTCAGGAGTTTTTTTTTCTTTTAGTTTGCTTTTTTAAAATTGGGAAATTCCCATGCTTGTTTATGTGATGATAGGAATGATCCCTAGAGAGGAAAATTAATGCTGGAGTAAAGTTCTTGCGGTAGCACTGGTGGGATGGTATAGAGAATGCAAGGAGGGGGCGTGCCCTTTCCTGGGAGTGGGGGTGATGACATAATATAAAAAAGGACCTCATGTGTCACTGTACACACTGCTCCTCCCTTCAGTCTTACCAAAGCCTCCTTTACACCAACTTTATCTTTCTCTAATCACTAGTTGCTTTTTCCCTGTGTCACACATAATGTGTTCTTTCAGATTGAATTCATTCTGTATAAGGCTTAGCATGAAGCAGCTGGTGACGTTTAATACCAATTTCCATTTTTTTGCCAACAGGTGAAGCAAAAAATTTATTGCCATATCTTGGACCCAATAAAATGAGAGATTGTTTCTGTACCATAAATTTGGACCAGGAAGAAGTTTATCGTACTCAAGTTGTTGAAAAATCTTTAAGGTTAGTAGAAACATTGGTAAACTATCATTTATATTATATATATTAATTGATATATTTAATGCATTTTTTTAGATTGTAATAATCAAGACTTTCTTCATCTGAAACTTTTTCTTTTCTTTTACATTCTGAATTTATTTTTTAGAATTACAGATGTCAGAGTTTGAGGGAGTCTTAATGTTCATTGAGCTTGACTGACTACTTTTGCTTGATTCCTTCTGCCAGTAGCTTTGGCCAGTAGTCATCTGGCATTTGCTTAATAATGTTTCAGAGACCAAGGAGTTTCCACTATCTCCTAAGCAGCCCATTTGGTGGTTGAATTATTTTGACTCTTAGGAAGCTCTTATATTTAGTTAGCTAATGTTTATTAAAATGAGAACCTATTATATGTCAAGAACTTGCTGTGTTCCATTTATTCATAATCCATGAGAACAAGATAGATGCTTGCTTTCATGTGACTTTTCATTGCTTCAAAATGTATCTTCTTCTTAATTGTTCCTAATTCTAACCCTTGGATTTCTGGAGAACAAATTTCTTTCATATGGCACTCTTTCAAGTTTTTGAAAATAACTATCATATTCCTCAGTCTGTTCTGTAGGCTAAATTTTGCCTATCATTTGAACTTTATTCAAAGTACATCATTATTTTATTTCTCTAAAGTGTGAATTATTTCTTAAAGTTCATACAAGCCACTTAATTTAACAGTGCATTATCTGGCATTGAATTTTTAGGTAGATTTCTCATCTTTGAAAGTGTAATTGCACTTCAAAAGTATCAAAGTAAATTCTAATTCGTAAAATTGGAATATGCCACCTCTGCCCTGTAGCAGTATTTGTGGACATAATACAGGTGCAGAACTATGCTGAAAGAATGAAGTCTTATTCAGAGACGAGTCAAAACGAGGATATAGGGAATTATTGAATGAACATGTAGTAGATGAAATATTGAGAGGCATAATTTATGTAAATTGTATTTTAGACAAGTTGTATTTCAGGGTTTTGTTTTTGATGCCTTTTTTCAATATCTTTTTTTCTTTACATTTGCCCTTTTTTCCTCTGAAATTTCCCTTATGTCATTATTTTCAGTTTTTGTGATTTGGAATATTTATTGAGTTTTTGATAGGAAATGTATTATAAAAACTGAAAAAATCTTTGAAGTAATAAACTTGAAATCTGTAGTCATAAGTCATCAGTTCTTGTTGTATTAGGATTTTGGTGTTTTTTATACTTGTAGATATAAATTTCTAAATACATAATTTTATATTTATAAATGATGAAAATGAGACACTGAAAGGCTGAATAAGTTGTTGTATAGTAAAGGAAATTAGAAGCAAAACTGAAATTGGGAACCTGAAGCTATTTAAATCTTAATTTGTTACTTAATGCACACTGACTCCTTATCACACAATAATCAGTGATTTATAAAACTAACTGGATACTTGTGGTAGTTTCTAATATATAGCTTTGTAAATGAGTAATTAAAATTAGCCTCCCCCCCATGTCTTCCTGGATATCTGTGTTGAGAAAAAGAATGAAACCTGTTTTTTTTTTATATTCGTCTTAAATTATTTTTTTAGATGCATAGCAACTTGGAAGATATTTTAAGGTTAGCAGTGGTGGTTACCTTAGGTAATTTCAGTATGGTTAGATTAGATGCTTCTTGGATCCTGGGTGTCCCCAGCACTTTTTCTTGTGGAATTGGGCAAAAGACTATAGTAAAGGCCCCCAACCAATGTGTTTTCATTTCTGTGTGTTCTACCCTTGTGGATATCATGGTAAGCTGTTAAACCAAAAGTCAGTAGACGCCATTTGGATCTTTTATGGGTTCTGCATATTATAGCTTTTGTGTGTAGTCTGGACATAGTTTTCACTTAGGTGAGTATAGTTTCCACATATGGGAACTAGAGCTCTTAAACCTCTCCCTCAAATACGTTTAGGAAATAGGTGGTGAATAAACAGAGGAACAGCAACACCGCTTGTTCCTGCTGCTTCTCTTCCCCACGTCAGGAATTTCACAGGTCAGTGATACCAGTACAGTACTGTTGTAAAAACTATATAAATCTAGTCATGACTCATTGCCAACCTTGTTGAAAAGTTTTCTTCAGACAGATTGATTAATTAATTATTTATAAAATAAAAATGTGGGCACTCAGATATGGGGGTTAGGTCATTAAGATTGTGTTGCTACAGATAGCTTAGTAAATAATTCTCATGTTGTTCTTATTTGGCTTTAGAATGTATTTTTAAAATAATATTTGAATGTGGATGTGATATGTAAAGGAAATTCTCGATTTTGTAATTATTTATAAAAATACAAATGAGAAATACCTACATATGTCATATCTTTACCTAGTAGTTGTTTTTGCATTAATTTCTATGTTAGAATTAGAAGACTAATTACCGGCCATTGCCTTACTAGACTCTGGCGTGGCTGTGTGCTCTTTGAGCTATGGCTATCACTGTGTTTTCTGGCTTTGGCCTCCTTCTCTGCCTTGGGGAGGTGAATCTCCTCTTTTTCTCTCTCTCTCCAATTTACTTTCTAAATAAACTATATTTTCCAATCTAAAGAAAAAAAAAGAAGAAGAAGACTAGTTACCTTTGACAGACAAACTTTAAAAAGTTTGTTTTGGGCCAGGCTTGGTGGCTCAGCCTGTAATCCCAGCACTTTGGGAAGCCAAGACAAGTGGATTGCCTGAGCCTGCACGTTTGAGACCAGTCCGAGCAAATTGGTGAGACCATGTCTCTACAATCAATCAAAAAAAAGTTAGCCAGGCGTGGTAGCATGTGCCTGTAGTTCCAGCTACTTGGAAGGCTGAGGTGGCGGGATCGCAGGAGCCCAGCAGGTCGACACTGAGATGGCTGTGAGCATGCCACTGCGCTCCAGCCTGGGTGAGAAGTGAGACTCCAACTCAAAAAAAAAAAAAAAATTTGTTTTGGTTACACTTGAAGGGAAAGATACAGTGACAAAAAGTTGAGCAGGCATTGTATCAGCTATAAAGTTGAGCCAGCTGTTTTCTGGTCAAGGTCAGAAATGACTCCTGTAGAAGTATTTTACTATGTATTTCAGCTTCTCTTTTAGTTATGACATCCTAAAGATACTGCATTTCATGGTGACATTTTAAAAGAAATTTTTGCTCTTTAAACATACTCAGGAATGAGGTACTCTTGACAAAAGATTCACTAACATTTCAGAGATTCATGTCTTTGTAGAATTTAAATATATCAAAATAGCATTCATTTTTTTTTTTGAGTTGGACTGTCACTTTGTCGCCCAGGCTGGAGTGTAGTGGCACATACACAACCACCACAGCCTAGACCTGCTGGGCTCAGGCGATCCTTCCACCTCAGCCTTCCAAGTAGCTAGAACTACAGGCGCATGCCACCACACCTGGCTAATTTTTAAATTTATTGTAGAGACAAGGTCTCACCAAGTTGCCCAGGCTGATCTCGAACCCCTGGACTCAGGCAGTTCTCTTGCCTCCACTTCTCAAAGTGCTGGGATTATAGGCTTGAGCCACTGTGCCTGGCAAAATAGCATTCTTAAAATGAACTTATCAAAATAAGCTGTTTCAAGGGAGGAAAATCTTTGCAACCTGGGGGTAGGCAAAACTTTCTTACCTATAATACAAAAAACACTAATCATAAAAGAAGAAAATTGTTCATTTAGATTTTATTAAAATTAGAGACTTCTGTTCTTTAAAAGAAACCATCATGACAATTAAAGTATAAGCTTTCTGAGAGAAAATATTCTGACAGAGGTCTTATATCCAGAATATATTTAAAAAAAAAGCAAAACCCCTAATAACTCAAAGAAAGACAGGCAGCAATTTAAAATATGAGGAGATTTGAACAAATAGTTCATAAAAGGTGATATATGAGTAGTCAAGAAGCACACGGAAAGGTATTGGACATCATTAGCCATCAGGGAAGTGCAGTTTAAAACCATTTCTGTCACTGTGGATTCTAGAACATAATCTGTGGTGATAGAAATCAGATCATTGTTTGCTGTGATGTTATGGTGGGCTGATTGCAGAGGGCCCTGGGCAACTTTCTGGGAATATACAAATGTTTTATATCTTGATTGGGGAAGAAATTACATAGGTGTATAAATGTATCATGTCACATTCCTACAATAACTAAAATTTAAAAGACTGCCAGTACCAAGATGTGGAGAAACTGGAGCATTGCTGGTACAAGTGTGAAATTGTACAACCACTTTGAAAAACAGTTTAACAGTTTCTTACAAATCAAGCATTCGCTTCCCTCTTTAACTCAGCAATTCCACTGTCACTTACTTTCTCAAAAGAATTGAGAACATAGGTCCAGAAAAGACCTGTATTAAAATGTTCATAGCAGCTTTATTTTTAATAAATAGTCCAAACCGGAAACAACTCAAATGACATCACTAGAAGAATGAATTGCAGAATATAAGAGAATACTGTGCGGCAAGTAGAATACATGAGCTACCGAATACACAACAAAAGGAAAAAAAAATCTCACAGACACTAAACCAAGTAAAATAATGTGGACAAAAGAGTACATACTATATGATTCCATTTATGTGAAATTCTAAGACCGATCCATAGTGATAGAAAGCAGATCCTGGGTTGCCTGTGGCAGGGATGGTAGAGTAACTGCAGAGGGACACGAGGGAACTTTCTGGGGGGACAGGGATGTTCTCTATTTCAGTTGAGGTGGTGGCTCAAATTTATAAATTCATAATTTAAATACAAATTTATACATTTAAATTTATATCATGTCATCACCTCTGTACTTTAAATTGAATTTTATGTAATTTATACCTCAGTGAAGTTGATTTAAAAATAGCATGTGGTTTCAGAAACTTTTTTTTTTTTGAGTTGGAGTCTTACTTTGTCGACCAGACTGGAGTGCAATGGCCGCTCCCGGCCACCGCAACCTCGACCTGCTGGGCTCCGGCGATCCTTCTGCCTCAGCCTTCCAAGGAGCTGGAACTACAGGCACGCGCTATCACGCCCGGCTGATTTTTTTGATTTATTGTAGAGATGAAGTCTCGCCAAGTTGCCCAAGGGGGTCTCGAACCTGCGGGCTCAGGCAATCCACTCACCTCAGCCTCCCAAAGCACTGGGATTACAGGCTGAGTCACCGAGCCCAGCCTGAAACATATTTTTAAAGAAACATTTCATATAACATTACCCACTTTAGGCAATATATTATTGTTATTGGTATTATGGTATGTACGTATCAGGTACTATCATTACATTTCTGAGACAATGATGGTGTGAATGACACTATCCTCAGCTCTCATTTAGGTTCACTTTAGGTGCACTTGACTCCAGGCAACTGCTGTCTATTCCGTCCACAGGACTCGTGCTTTTTTTTTTTTTTTTTTGAATTGGAGTCTTACTTTGTTACCCAGGCTGGAGTGCAGTGGCACGCTCACAGCCACCACAGCCTTGACCTGCTGGGCTTAGGCGATCCTTCTACCTCAGCCTTCCAAGTAGCTGGAACCACAGGCGCGCGCTACCACGTTCAGCTTATTTATTTATTTATTTTGGTTTATTGTAGAGACGAGGTCTCACCAAGTTGCCCAGATTGGTTTCGAACCCCTGGGCTCAGGCAGGCCTTTCGCTTCGACCTCCAAAAGTGCTGGGATTACAGGCTGAACCACCACACTTGGCCCATGGGACTCTTGAAAACTATTTGTTTGGAACTCTGGTAACTTAGGTCCTCTCAGGGTTCAGCTTGGTTTGTATAGAACTTAGTGGAAACTTAGTATTGAGAATTATTTTGAAGCCTTTGAAGTTAATTTCAGTGGCACTTTAATCTATAATTTCATTGACTTTATTGAAAGTTACATTATTTGGGGTAATAATAATACTATTATTAATAGTCATATTAATTAATTGTTATTTTCTACTCATTGAAGTAATGAGCTTTCCCCCTTTTCTCTCTAGCCCATTTTTTAGTGAAGAATTTTACTTTGAGATTCCAAGAACTTTCCAGTATTTGTCTTTCTATGTTTATGATAAGAATGTTTTACAAAGAGACCTTCGTATAGGTATGTACTATTCATAATTATCCTTAATCACAATTTTGATGTTTATATTCATTCTTTCTCGATGTGTAAAGTGTTGAAAACTGAAAAATAATATATGCTCAACATTTCTGATCCTTTTCTTTAGACTGCATGTTCATTTGTTTTTTAATTTGTATGCTTGCCTTAGGTGACACTTTCTCAGGGAGACCTTTGCGGATCCCCTAGTGACTGTGTCATATGTTTCCATAATATCTAATGGTTCCCTTTCCATAGTACTTACATTACTAGATATTAAACAACTAGATATTAAACAACATAGTTTGTTGTTTAATATCTAGATTCTCTAGTTAAGTTTTTATTTATGAGGCAGGGATTCTGTCTCACAGAATGCCTTACTTTTAATAAATACTGGATAAGTATTAGTTGAGTGGTTCAAATGTCTATATAAAAATTGCAGTATTAATCCCTACAAAGGACATCTGTTTTAGACATTTTTTCTTATAGAAATAATAATTCACTTTAGTTATACGTTTCTCCTTATCTGCATTGGGGACCAGTAAATATACTTCTTAAGCAGTGGTCCCCAACCTTTCTGGCATCAGAGACTGGTTTGTGGAAGACAACTTTTCCACAGACTTTGGCCGGGGAAGGCGGTGTGTGCAGTCAAACCTCACTGCTAATGTTAATCTGTATTTGCATCCACTTCCCAACACTAACATCACTGCCTCAGCTTCACCTCGGATCATCAGGCATTAGATTCTCCTGAGAAGCATACAACCTAGATCCCTCACATGTGCAGAATTCACACTCCTTTGAGAATCTAATGCTGCAGCTGATCTGACAGAAGGCAGAGCTCAGGCAGTAATGCAAGCAATGAGGAGTGACTGTAAAAACAGATGAAGCTTCCCTAGCTTGCCTGCTACTCACCTCCTGCTGTGCATCCCAGTTCCTAACAGGCCATGGCCCCTGGGATTGGAAACCCCTGTCTTAAATAATTGTCTGAGACTGCAATGTGATCTGTGGGCATGGACTAGAACAAAGATAACTGGCCACATTTGTGTCACATTCCTAGTTTTGCAGCACTGTCTTTGCTTCTTTCTTTCTTTTTTTTTTTTTTTGAGTCAGAGTCTTACTCTAATTACCCAGGCTGGAGTGCAGTGGCAAAATCACAGCTCTCCTCAGCCTCAGTCTCCTGGGCTCAGGCGATCCTTCCACCTCAGCCTCCTGAGTAGCTGGGAATGACTACAGGTGTGCGCTACTATGCCTGGCTAATTTTTTTGTTTTTTGTAGAGATGAACTCTCATTATTCAGCCTAGGCTGGTCTTAAACTCCTGGACTCAAGCTGTCCTCTACCTTGGCCTCCCAAAGTGCTAGGATTGCAGGCATGAGCCACTGCACCCAGCCTATCTTTGTATTTTAATAATAGACAGATGTCCAATTTACATGTATTATCCTCTTTTTCATCTCCATTTCTTTTCTGATTTGAAACATGGTCAAGGCTTCCACGGCTTTAAAAAATTAAGCTTTTATGACTTTTGTCTTCTAACTAACTGCTAATGTTTCTCTGCTTTTGCTATTGAACTCCTTAACAAATGGTCTGTGTCAGTTCTCTGCCTATTTCTTATTTCTTTTTAAAATTCTCAGTAATCTGACTTTTTCATTTTTTCTGACAAATTTTTCCTGAAGTTTTCCAAAATCATTTTAAAGCAAATCATGTGACCTTTTAAAACAATATACAGTAGGTCCCTTACATATGAACCTTCAAGTTACAAACTTTGATGCACACTTCTATTTTTTATGTGTTATTTCTCTCCACGAGGTATCAGTACAGCCTGTTAAATATATTCAGTATTTTATAGCCAATTGTGTTAGTTGGGTACGTAGGCTTACTTTTATTGGACTTAAAACAAATTGGATATACAAATGTGCTCTTGGAATGGAACTTGTTCGTATGTTGGAGACTTCCTGTATTTTTCTTCATTGTAAAACTATTACATGTTCTTGGTGACTAGTAGTGACTCTGTATAGGAATTACTGTAGTTGATGTATTTCTTCCCATTCTTTATTTCTTGCTTTTATATTACTACATTGTACTATTTAGTCAATTTTTTTTCCTTTTTCAATCATCTGATGATTTTTCCCATGTTATTAATTTTTTAAAAATTTTTACTTTTGTGCAAAATCTATTTTAACCACTCTTGTCAGTGAATATTTTTGTTTCCAAATTTTTGGTATTAGTGTTGCTATTAATGAATATCCTTTGGCGTACATCTTTGCGTGTCTCTTTTTCCTTAGGATAAATTCCTAGATGTGAAAGTACTGGGTCAAAGTGTATGAGTATTTTTACAATTTTACAATTTCTTTTATATATTTTTGTGTTGGCCTCCAGACATATTGTCCTTCTTGAGGAATTTACATTTCCTCAAGAAGGACATGGGCATAACCATTTCATCATATCCTGGCCATTCTTGGATATTGCTGAGAAAAAATATGCCAATATGATAGGTGAAAAAGTCCAAATGCTAAGGAATTTGGATTTTATCTTGCAGACTGGTTTTGAACCTTTTAAGAATATATGTAGTTGTAACTGTGTATATATACACACATATTGTATATTCTACTTTAAATATATATTCTGTATACAATGAGTTATAGTTTGGAAGTTCTGTTGTAGGAATGATTAGAATAGGGAGAGATTTTGAATGGGCAGGGAGACCAACAAGGAGGCTGTTACCAAATGAGGTGACAGGGTAGCAGCAGTAGAAATACAGATGAAGGAATGTACTTCAGGGGTTTTATATATAGAGATTTTTTTTTTTTTTTTGAGTCAAGGTCTTCCTTTGATGCCCAGGCTGGAGTGCGGTGGTATGACCACCACAATCACAGCTCATGGCAGACTTGACCTTCTGGACTCAGGAGATCCTTTCACCTCAGCATCCTGAGTAGTTACAGGCACACGCCACCATTATTATTATTATTATTATTATTTTATTTTATTTTATTTTATTGTTTTTTGGTAGAGTACTGGTTTCACTATGTTGCCCAGGCTGGTCTCAAACTCCCCAGCTCAAGCAATTCACCTGCCTGGGCCTCCCAAAGTGCTGGGATTACAGGAGCGAACCACTATACCCAGCTAGACATCTTTTAATGTCAACAAAAGGATATGAAACAAAGCAAGAGTTTTAAGTGGTCTTGTTTCTATGACTCTCATTAACTGAGATAAGGAACACAGAAGGAGCATTCAGTTTTGAGTATGGAGTGAGAAGGGGACAGGATGACTTTAGTTTCAAACAAGTTTTATTACCTGGGGAATATCTAAGTGGACATGTTGGTTGACAGCTAGTAATATATTAATCTGAAGCTTTGAAAAAGAAGAGCTAGAGATGCAGATTTAAGAGTTATTAACATTAAGTGATACTTGATACCTGTGCTGGAATGAATGAAATTTCCTGGGAGTAAATAAGGAGGCTTCAGTGGCCCAGGCTGGTCTTGAACCCGTGGGCTCAGACAGTCCTCTTACCTCAGCCTCCCAAAGTGCTGGGAGTATAGGCATGAACCACTGCACCCGACCAAATAAGTTTATTCTTATTAAGGGATAAAATTTCTAGCTGGGTTCGGTAGCTCAGCCTGTAATCCCAGCATTTTGGGACACCGAGGCAAGTGGATTACCTAAACCCGTGGGTTCAAGACCAGCCCAGGCAACTTGGCGTGACCTCGTCTCTACAATAAATCAAAACAGCCAGGTGTGGTAGCGTGCGCCTGTAGTTCTGGCTACCTGGAAGGCTGAGGCAGAAGGATCACTGGAGCCCAGCGAGTCAACGCTGGGGTGGCCGTGAGTGTGTCACTGCACTCCAGTCTGGGCAACAGAGCGAGACTCCAACTCAAAAAAAAAAAAAAAAGAAAGAATAAAATTTCTGCGTTTAATGGGAACTTTTTTCTTTTTATATATAGACTTATTATTAAAGTAAAAACAGCATGTACCCTTTAAGGTTGGAAAATAGTCTTCATGCTTTTACTTATAAATTTTGAACTTTTTTGTAATTAAATATATTTTCTTTTGTCATTAACTCATAAAGTTATTTTTGTTTTTTAAATTTTGAACTATTGGAAATTGAATTCCTTCAATTATTTTATAATTCTGGGTTGCCCAGTTGTAGATTAAACAGTAGCATAGCATTTTCTGGAAATGGAATTTTTTTTTTTTTTTGAGTTGGAGTCTCACTCTGTCGCCCAGACTGGA